GGGGGGGGTGGGGAGAAATGAAAGAAGAAGAAAGATCTTGGTAATATAAATCGCGCCGTGGTATAAATTGCAGCCGAAAGTAGCAGGCAAATGTCTCGGCGTATTTTTCTATTCCGCGGATCTCGGCTTGAACCTAGCCCGTCCTTTCCCCCGACGCGGCTTGTTTTATCGTGCAGACTGTAACGTTTCCCCGTTACTTGGTCTTAGGGGACCTCTTGCCTCGAAATCCAATAAGCAATGTCCTCCACTTCCTATTTCTCCTGGTCGTTCTCGTCCCTCTCCTCCCCATCTTCCGCGTCCCTCGCCGCCGGCAGCGGTCGTGTACCAACGAAACGCGCGAGAACGCCAACTCTTCCTCGTAGGAGGTTTCCTCGTAGGCTTCCCTTCCGTTACGCCACCACCACCGAGGTGGTCGTCTCGTTGATGGAAAGTTTGCGGGTAACGCTGTCACATATCGGACGAGGGTCGCGGTCAAAGTTGGGGCAAGTGGGCCGGAAAAGGAAGCGGAATTGCAAGACCGCAGCTTTCGTTCGTTCGAACGTTCAAGAACCTTGGTAACGACCTTGTCCCGCCTTCGTCCTCGGGGACGTTGTCCAGATTGTTGCGGTGTTCCTCTCCCGGGGAACCATTCGCACCGAGTGACCAGCTTTCTTCCGGTTCTATCTACGCGATCGAGTTCGAGTTTTGGATCGCTTGGTAGCTCGTTTCATTTCGCGGAGAGGAGAGACATTACGAATACGCGATTGACTCTTTAGCTGTAGTGCCGTTAGAAACGACGATTATACTCGTCAAACACAGAGTGTGTGCAGCTGCTGTAAAATTGAATTAAATTGCAGGGAAAAATCAATAATTTTATCGTTCAGCTTGATCGACATTATTTACAAAACGTAGACATAATTTTCTCATTAAACAGAAACATCAGATATTTGGAAAAAAATAAAAAGAAATTGGAAATTCAATTTATTCTCTCAGAATGATATTTATTAAGGCAAGGTACGATGCATAATGGCACTTCGCGTGTCGAATACAGCATCTTTGTGTGGGTTTAGTTTTTGACGATGTGCTTGGTGAGTAGTCTGGAAAATGTTTTCCGATGGAACGTGCATTATTATATCAAATATGAAATATCATATTAATATAATATAATGGCGCAAAACTTTGAGTTGGCTCGCGCGGCGTTAATGAAAACGTTAGATTTCCTCTTGGAAATTAAAATTCTGTAGAATTAAATAACAAGGTACCAGAGCCTCTTCTTTTGTGCGTTTGTAACGTTCGTTTCCTGAGGTAACCATTTCCAGAGACCTGGTTTTGAGGTTTTCAAATTAGACACC